CAAGGTCTTTTCCACGGCCTTCCTTCCTCCCTGGGTGCTTGCGGGCTGTAGTGTTGCATGGTGATGCATCTTTGGAGTGTGTGCCCTGGGCAGCCCACATCACCCAAAGAACTGGAGTTGGACTGGGCTGAGGACTAAGTGTTCTTTGCTGTAAGAATTGAAGAATAGGGCCTGTTTACTTGTTGGGATGTAGGTAGCATTGCCTATCCTAAGAGAACCGGGCTCAAAGCATTATAATACTGATGAACAGAGAACTGTAAAACAGCCGCTATACTTGGGTGAAAGCTGCTTCATTTCATGTTCAATCTGCACCTTATTTCTTCCCCTGTGCACTGTATGCTCAAGTATGTCTGCCACCACTTGACTCTGGATATCTCCTCCATATCTTATCTTCACGGTCTCTTTTCTGCGTTCAGTCTTTCTCCTTGAAACTCCCCTTTGAGTCAGTTATATTCTTATTTCCGATCTCCTCTCCAAACACGTCTTTCTCAGCTATGTCACAGCTCATCTGTCACACTGGAGGGAACCAGAGGTGGTTTTAAGACACTTCCATAGTATCATAATCTTAAAGGCAGTCGTGTGTCTACTTAGCCCTCAGTGTAAATTGCAGTAGCTTTGGTTGCCAAGGGGGAAAAAAAATCCAACAGAAGTAGCGCAACAGCTTCTCATTCCCACAGAGCTACTTTGAGTCTGGGGCTTCTGGAGGAAGGGATAGCACCGGGCTCTACTCCCGTCCATGTGCCCACACACTATTTTGGGAGAGGTGGAGGGAGAGAAGGGAAGACTCCAACTACAGCTTTCTTATTCCCTTCAGATTGCTGGAATAAAATACAGAGCCTGTAATGCTGCATTCAGCTGGGTCTCGTGTTTTGGCCTAAGCTGTTTTCACTCAGGTCAGAAGATATGTGGCATGAACAGCAACTGTTTTTCTTTGCTATAAATAGTAAAGCACTGACCGCTCAGATAAATACACTTGTATAAATGAAATGGTAAAACTAGGTTTAAAGAGAGACTATAGCAAACACTAACCTTTTTATAGTATCTTATAACAAAGATTTGCCTAGATGGCAGGCTTGTATAAAGAAGTAAATTATCCTGCTTTCTTATAGCAGCATAGAGCACTTTTACAGATAGGTTAACAGAACAGCCCTCTCCAATAAGTAGATGTAGCTCAGAGAGAAGTGAATAATACCTATAATAACTTAAACTGCACATCAGTTAAGTCAATAATAAGGACGCCACTCAACTGCAGGACAAACTGGAAAATACAGTGGAAGTCCATTTTTATTTATAAAGGATTTATATTACATTATAGCAGTGCTTGATGCAAGAGTCTTTCAAATGCCCCAGAAAGTTCCGCAGGTGCCCAGTCCTCTGCGTGGCCCCGCGCGAGGCAGTGTGCGTGGAGGTGTGGTGCTCAGCTCCCAGGAGATTGCAAGAACACTCCAGTAAAACACAAACGCTGCAGTCTCACCCAGCCTTTAAGCCTTTGAAGATAATCACACCTTGAAATTGCCCAGGGGCATGATGTAGTTGCCAGAGAACTCAAATGTTGATTAAAGAAGGCAATAATATCAGTACTTCAACAATAATGAAGTTCATCTGCTCTTCTGAAAGACGAGGGAAATGAAGAAGTACTGTGTTCCCTACATCCCTGCCGGGACCTGATGAAGCTCATTTCTCCCTCCCTGGTTCTTGAGTATTGCAGCAGGTGACCTTTCCCACTGCTCTGTCCAAAGGATGGACTTTTCTACCTGGGCCACGATGACATTAGCTTCATACTGATGTGTAAGTCAGGAGTATCTCCTTGGAGTTACACTGCTGTAGGTCTATCTGCAGCGAGAAGTGGATCTGACCTACGGTTTGCCTCTAATCAGGCATTATTACAGTAAATACTTGGCCACATCCTGAGCCAAAACTCTTAAAGACAGTATCAAGGACATCCAGGAGGACTCCTGGAGGTGAGTGAGAAATTATAGTCTAAAACAGGTGTGCAGCAGACAAATGCTAAGATGTCTCTTCTGGCTGGAAGACAAGACCAGGGACAAGTCACTATGAAATAGCCTCTTTTTATTCCTTTTCTTGGCATCCCTTACCAGTCAGTCAAGGAGAAGAGAGGGGGCTGGCTGAGCCAGCAGGTACCTGTTACTGTTTCCAGTTCCACTGACTTCTGTTGGAGCTGTGGGCACCTAGCACTTTGGAAATATCTTTTGTATCAGCAAATAGCTGTATCCATTATCATGATGCTCAGTTTTCCTTCAAATGGAACAAAATAAAGCAAACAAATAAAAAGGTTACTGCTCTTCAGACTTGTCTCCATGATTTTTCTGTTACTTGCAGTAGAAAAAGAAATCCATGAAATTGCATGCCCTTTTTACAGAACCTCTTCCAAGCTCTTATTCTACTCTCAAACACTTGAGATTAATTCAATTTTCACAGTCCCTTACAGGTACTTTCCTGCACAGGGATCTGAGTAATGCATGCTGAGAATAATTTCAACCTACTCTAAACCAGAAGGATCAGAGAGGCTGGACATGGGACTCCAGTGGTTAGGGGAGGCAGCAACTCCCTTCCTATGACCACAGACTTGCCCGTTTGGCCTTGTTGGGTAGGGAATAACCACATTTGTGTCAGAGAGGTGTTGCAAAGCTTCATTAAGGTTCAATGAACCCCTTTGAGAACCTGAAATGAAAGATGGTGTATAAGTACATAACTTATTTGTATTCATTAGCAGTAGAAAAGTTGATTATCCAGAAATCTGCTTTGGCTCTGCATACCATGGAGTCACACTTGCCATTTAGACGTGAGGGGGACAGAATCCTTGGGTGGCCAGGACCATCTTGCATGTAACGTGAACAACCTGAGCAAGTGTCAGGTTCTGGAGACAGGGTTGTTGAGGGCTGGGTCACACGCAAGGTTTTGGGGAGAGAAGGGTTGGGCCATGCCTGAGGTTTTCAGGAGAAACGTGTGGAACATGGCGAGGTTTTCCAAAGCAAAGGGCTGGGAGATACCCAAGGCTTTCAGAAGAGATGGGCTGAGGGAGCCAAGGGTTTCTGGAGAAAATTTATGTGAAACACACGGGGTTTTTGGAGGAGAAGATGAGGGTACTTCGGTTTGCAGAACAGAAAGGCTGGGCTATGCCAGGGGTTTTCAGGGGAGCAGGCTGAGGACTTCGCTAAGGCTTTCAGAAGAGCAGAGCTGGGAGGTTCCCAAGGGTTTTTTATGAGGAAAATGTCACCCAAAGCTTTGCAAAGAGAGCGAGTGGGACCTGTGCACGGCTTACAGAGAAAGCTTGGCGGGGGGTGAGCTCCAGAGGAGAGCGCCGGGCCCAGCCGAGCTTTTCGGAAGGAAAACGCCGGCCCTGGTGACCGCCCATGGCTGCCCAGGCCCCCGGCGGCAGCTCGGGGACCCCGGGGCGGCTCCCGGGCCGGGCCGGGTCGGTGCCGCCTCCTGACGTCGCGAACCTGCGGTGCGCGGGGGGC